AGTCGACTGGCGTAATTGGGAGACCAGCAAAGATATTCAAGCGCTATGGACGACTTCCCAATAGACGATCAATCCCTAGTTCCCTCCTTCGGGGACAGATCGCCTGCGCAATGGCCGACAAATTCAGTTAGTCCTCCACAGCATTCCTACCTTTTTGCATCTAAGCCACATGGTTTCCCAAGTCAGCACGACAGCGACCAACAGGAGGATTTCTTCCATAACGGGGAAATGTCCCAAGCGTTCGACATAACGGGACTGGACTTGACTGGCGACGACCTCCTTCACAACCACATAAACCGCATTCCAATTGACCAGCTAGTCGACCCAGCGTTACTCAATAGTTATGGCACAGGCAAACATGACCAGGTAACTTTTGAGCCTTTTCAGGATGGTCAGTACCAGTCTACCATATCGACTGCGCGCGTTCCACGTGATGGCGCATCAACGCCTGCGTCAAACCCTGCCTGGACCAACAGGTCAAGTCGACTTGCCAATCGAGACTTCAGATTTCGGGCGTTGCCCAAAGAAACGCCGACGAAAAGACCTACCAAGGAATGCAGACGTTCTGCAAGTGGCCGTCGAGAAAACGTGTATATAGAAGATATTGATGATGGAGAACGGGACGGATGGGAATGGGGCCAGGATCCTTCGGAGCGCGCACAAGAGGAACCATGTAACAATGACGACTTCGGATCCGGGAGGTTTTTCAATCCGCCCCACCCCCACAACCGTGTGTCAGTAGATGATGCCGTCGTCGCCGCTGGCGATTTACTAGATTTCTTTGGACAGCCGCAGACGGACGGGATGATAGCCTCAAATGACCTCGAGGCAATTGTGAGAATCTGGAGTCAAGCACGCAGAATGCAGTAGGAGTGTGTCGTGAAGAAAATAATAAGCTACGTTGGAGGCATGTCCAGATAGACCAACAGCCATAGGCGATATCAGCAGGCTGTGTATCAAAAAGATGTATCATTGTTCCGTCTAGAAAAAAAGACATTGACACACCACAATGTCCGGTGAAAGAACATGCGTTCCTCCTAGGTCACAGTATCTATAACTGTCTCAGTGTGCTGTCGGTACATCTACCGATTTCATGTGCTCATTATTGAGGCACAGAATCTCCACAGTCAAAATAAATGGTCATATTGCGCAAGCCGCACGTGAATGTGGCATCTCTGTCATCATACGCAAAGCTGTACGCCGTTGGACACGTCTTCTTGAACCACGGGTTGCTTGCTCTACAACGGCTGGCGTCAAACTCGCCCCTGCAACAGTATTCGTCGGTTTCATACACTGCACAGTCAGACTTACAGCCAATGGGAGCGCTACCTGTCTGCACGTCAGTAATCAGATTGGATTGGGGGCATACCGTGCGATTCCGGTGATCTTCCATCCCAAGATGAGGCGGAGCCACACAGGTAATAGGCTCGCATGCGTCGTCGTCCGGCTTAACTGTGATGCCGCAGGTATATCCGTCAACTAAGTTTTATCAACATATAATCCTTAGCTAAAGAGGTTGTGCATTATACAAACCGAGGCTGATGTCGTAGTAAATCTTGTCACTAAGGACCGTTAGCTCGAATAATGTGGTCAACGTTGAGGACCGGCCCCAGCAGCTTCGACTGCCGCAGTCTCCAAGAACACAGCCTGTTCCATCCGCAGAGCAGTACTGGCGGGCCCAGAGCCGACCGGACCAGTTTGTTTGAGGTAGGGCAACCTTGAATGTTGAGTTAGCTAACAAGGCAAGGCCCTCCGGTAGGGGATCGCCGGAGACGACGCCTCCATCGCTAAGAGTGGGCTCCGATAACGGAGAACCCTCTATAGCGGGCCATATAGTATGGTCACTAGAGTTGTTGACGATGGTTAGAACAACGCTCTGTGCATGCAACGTGGTGGCAAATATTAAAAAAGCGAGCATCATCTTTTGCTAATGTAAGTATCATATGAGGCCTTATATAGACAATCGACAGCAATCAGCGTTGCTTGACTTGACTAACCGGCCTTATTATAGAAATGCGTAACTAATGAACTGAATTATGCATAACTACGTAATATGCTATACCGGAAGATTTTATTACCCAAATAACGTAGTTCATTAGGTTTTAACACTACTTATAAACTAGCTAATAGATTTTGGTAGGTCCAAGGTGGAGATAGAAGGGGAACTTGAGGCAACAGCATATCGCTGTTAATGGCAGCTGATGAGTCCCAAGCTAGTATTGGACACTGGCCTCCTCCAAATAGGTCCTGTGAGCCCATTGGTGGAAAAGGAGGATAGTCAAAGGTCGGTATGGTGAAGTCGAAGTCAGAAAATGGTACGCTCTCCAAGACGGAGAACGGATTCTCTAATGACTGCCCCACCAACGACACCTCGACAGGTGGCTCCAGATTTGGCAACGCTGGCGTCTCGCTTTCTTGTGCTAGCGGCCCTGTTGTTACGTTTGTCTGTACTGAAGATCCTTTCATGTTCCGGATAAGATGCATAAGTTGCGGCAGGTCGTTGCAGTGTACGGCTTCTGCGACGTCTTCGGCGAACCTCTCCATCGCCGTGACTCTCTCCCTCAGCCTTTTCATTTCATCGTTCACCTTTTTGCGGTGCTTTGCTTGTGCTTCTCGATTGCGTCGCCTCTGTTCTGCTGTGGTTCGAGTCATGTTCAAAACTGCGTGAAGTGTGAAGAAAGCTAAAACGTGACGCCAATAGCGACATAGATATAGACCGTCAGCAGAACGAACAATGTTCATACTGCCACACCAAATGCAGTCCTCATACCTGCTCTGGAATCTGCTATATTTGAAAACACTGTCACTCGGTTTCAGAATGGTGCAGGGGTGTTTCAGGTATTCAGTCATGAGGAAATCTGTAGAGAGCCCCAGTTTGCATGTCTTATGACAGCTATCAGCGTCTGTTTCTGCTTCTGCTTACTTTTAGGCTCAACCTAACCTTACCTATGCTCTTACAGTGGTATTAATGGTAAAATGAACCAGTTGTTTGAAGTTCACAGCTATATTTAAGCATACGTAGCAAGGAACGCAACGGTCGGAGGTGTTGACTCAGTCTTTTTAGTACTAGTTTCTCGAAATATCGACATCTTTCCCTGTTCATGCGCAATTAATAAGGCATAATACAGGCAGCCAATATGTATATTACGTATTTTTTTGCGAAGTATTTACTATTACTATCTATGTATATCTGGCTACTCTTGTACGGAGGGGCTGACCCGGTGAACGTGGTCGCGCAATTCAAAGTTAAGTCCTAGCGGAAGAGCTGTCCCAAGATAGTCATTCAGCATTGCTGAATTTGAATACTGTACAGTACATACACAAGCCTATCTTCCGTTCAAGACCAATTGAAACCACGACATACTAGCTCGCCAACATAACCGTCTGAAGCTCGGTGGTCGTTATAACGTGCTTGCAGTCGGAGGATTCAGTCGTTTTGTTGGTTCGGGATGGTCTCTTTGCCCGTTAAGAAAAAGCAAACATCCCCCTATAAGGTGATCGGGAAGATTGTTCTTACTGGATCCATTTGCCAGAACCCTCACTGCGACCTCGATCGGCTTTTATTCGTCGTTGTCATTTCAGCGTAACTCACGCTGCAAAGTTTTCAACAACCGTGGTGGTTGAGCACCTTGCGGCTAAAGCCATTTCCACCACGCCATTCAATGATTCTATTAATGGCTCGCGCAGAGATTCCGCTCATTTTCATACTCTACTGCGTACCAGCATGGGTCCGAGGTGTTATTGATACATTTTATTTTACTCTTTTTATAGTGTGTAGATGCAAGAGCCACAAGAACTGCATGCCACGCAATAAACTAAACGGCTGTTTAGTGGGCTGTCTTTAAAGGACTCATTAATATTATTTGTAGAGTCTCGAAGATCCATTCTTCCTACAACATCAACGACGACCTGATCATGACATCGAAAGTTGTAGCAAGCCCACAAAACAGCATGTGTGCTGCGGTCCAAAATCTGCTCGCAGGCAGCATACATCTGTCGGTCACAGCGCATGAGCGTGATAACTGTTCTAACGCTACATATCGATGCGTTTGTTGTGCTTCAACATTCATCTTTTACGTGATCGGTCTGGCGGTTTAGCCGGTTGAAGAGACCCATACTCTCTTAGAGAAGAGGAAGATACTGTGTGCCCAATAGTACTCATATTGACAGACCCAGGATATATCGGCTGTGCATTACGTTTCAAACGCGGTATGCATGATGCACCGACCACCTCCGCTTCACTTATCTTTGTAGTAATGATTAAGCCATGCATATCTTGAATCATCTGATTTACTGCAGATTGATATACATAGACCTGATGAAGGAAAAGGTTGACGCTATATCGGCTCCAACATGCGCCCCAAAAACTAAAACGAAATCGGCACTCAGCCCTCGAGGCGGACCATGTTTCTCAATCACAACGTTGCAACCTCAATCCAGCTCTATCCGCTTATCGTTGCACGGGAATTCTTGCTGTTCGTCGCAAACATAACATAACAACATGGCCTGCCCCATCGAGCCACTGATAGGGTCACACAACCAGACTCCACATAGTAGCGGCGCCACCAAGAAGGTATGTTCATTTGCAATAACACGATATCCCAAATGTGGTGATGCTAAAAATAAACAAATAGGCTGTGTTTGTAGCTGCTGTAGAACTCTAGCGCAGATCTCATGGATAGTATTGGAGACCTGTAGCAGGGGTGTCACAGAAAAAGCTAACGATGAGTTAGAAAACAGCTATGATACGGTCGCGTTGTTATGCGCGTGTTGTTTTCTGTATCAGCCCAGCAATGTAGCCACTTAACATTTCAACCAACGGCTATTGTATCTTCCCAGATAGAAGTCCACTGTCAGTCTTCAGTTTGCAGTGGAGCGCTTCGAGTCATTAAAAGACATCCTGCTACGCCTATTAACCGCCTAGGGCAGACCAATTCGAAGCGTCCTTTCAAACCACACCGCTTCTTGCACTATTACTCTACACTCATCCACTCGCAAGCATGGCTGCATTAGCAGAGATTCAATCCGACGTTCCGCCGCATTGGACCATGTCTTCCCGGAAGATCGCCATCGTTGTCTCGTTGTCGATCATGTCCCTGGTCATCGCCCTGGACGCCAACATCATCGTCACTTCGCTCTCGGTGAGTCAATGGCGCTCAATGCTGGCGCTATGACTTGCGTAACAGACTAACAGAACAACGAGGCCATCATCCAGGATATTGGTGGAACATCGACGCAGGCTTTCTGGGTCGGCACGGCGTACCTGATCTCGTGCGCAGTCGTCATGCCGTTCATCGAGTCTGTCAGCAACGTCTTTGGACGCCGTGAAGTCCTCATCCCGTGCATTGGCTTGTTCACTGCGGGCACTTTGATGTGCTGCTTCACGTCTGAGATCGCCTTGATGATTGCAGGGCGCGTGGTGCAAGGTGTCGGCGCTGGTGGGATGTACGTTCTCTGTCTCGTCATCTTTACCGACATCGTGCCCTTACGTCTGCGATTCAAGTTCTATGGGATTATGCAAGGTCCACCATACCATTGCCGTTAGATACTGTCGTTATCATGTTCTGTTGCCCTATTGCTAACAATCGCTCACATCAACTAGCCAAGGGGCCTGGGCGATCGGGTCGATATCCGGGCCAATCATCGGCGGCGCCGTAGCTGAACACACGACGTGGCGTTGGGTTTTTCATCTCAACCTGCCGATCTGCGCTTACTGTCTTGCCTTCTTCAGTCTATTCTGCCAACTGAAAAAACCGGTCGAGACTGTTGCAATCACACACATCGACTGGCTGGGGGGCTTTCTTTTCACGGCGTCCTGGGTTTCTCTACTCGTCGGCATCTCGTGGGGTGGCGTGCAATTTGCGTGGGGAAGCGCCCAGACTGTTGCGCCAATTACGCTGGGTGTCGTCGGACTGGCTGCGACGATCATCTACGAGGCCCGATACGCAAGTCATCCCTTCTTGAAGAAAACCATATTCACTAGTGTGAACTCGGTACTTGTCTACATTCTGGGCTTTCTGCAAGGTTTGATTGTACATCCCTGACATTACAAAAATGATTTGGCCGTTATCTACTAACACAATTATCTCACATAGTTGTACGGCCAACTATACTACGTGCCGTTCTATTTCCTCTCTGTCCTAAGTTACACCCCAACGACCTCCGGAGTGGCCATGCTACCGGTCTCCGTCCTTCTCATTCCAGGGTCTATTGTGTCTGGCGTTATGATCAGTCGGCTGAATAGCTACCGATGGGCGATCTGGGTCGGATGGATGCTGACGACGGTTACGTCTGTCCTGCTTATCATGTGGGGCGTCGGCACTTCTGTTGTCTTCTGGGTATGCACGCTTATGGTTGGGGGGGTCGGCCACGGGTTTGTACTGAACGCGCAAACATTCGTCTCTGGTGTCAGCACCCCAGAAGAGAGCGCCGGGGGGTCGGCGGCGATGTACCTCTTTTCCCGGACCCTCGGCACGGCGATTGGGGTAAATGTTGGGTCATCAGTTTCCAGAACTTTATGGCCATAAAACTACCGGAAGAGCAGTCTGCGGTAGCGCACCATGCCGAACAGTACGTTGCCACACTGCGCAGTCTACCGAGTGGCGCCCATAAGGACTCTATCTTAAGGGCCTACGCGTTTGCATTCAAGAGTGTGCATACCGTCTTTGCCGTTGTTGCTGGCTTTGGACTTCTGCTCAGCTTCTTTATACCGCGTTACAGTCTGGATCGAACCTTACCTTGTCGTCGCACGTCGCTCAGCGAGGATACAGATGGGGAGACCAACGTCAAAAGTTGAAGTATAGGCTTATATTAAGAGATACATACAACCTAGTCTGAGGTTCCCTATCTCAACTTGCGAATCTATATTGGAGATAAGTAGCAGACACAGACGGCTTATTGCTCATGTCCACAATAGGGGGAGACTCATAGTTGAAAGAATACTGCGGTTGTTGAGTCGCGGGCAGCTCGACGACCGCAGGGGAAACATTGCCACTGTGTACCGTCCGCTCTGTGTGATCGTGGTGATGGGCTTGGGACGCGCTATGATAATGATGGTGGTGGTGGTGTATCTGAATGACAACTGGCTTTCCTTCTTTGCATCTTCTACAAACCCCAAAAGAAGTTTTGTCGCCCGACTGTGCGGCGTATTTTGCATGGAAGGACTTCGAACGCGGCAGATGGCAAACGACGCACAAGTGCTTAGGAGACATGTCTCTGCTTGATGAAGCGAGTTGGGGGACAGATATTTTCTCGTGGCAATGGAGGACTTGTAATGTTAAATACTCGGGGTCCTCTCTCGAACGCTGGATTCTGGCGAGCAAAACAAAGGTGGTCAGGCTACACACAAATACCATGGTTTCATAACACGTCAAGTCTCTAATAGAGGTGACTAAAGTGCTCAAAGTTTTTAGGACGTAATCGATTGACTACTCTGTAGTCCCGTGACCGCTTCCATAGTCATAGGTAGGTGTGGTAAGTGATTAACGGATCCAGTGCAACCACAAATGTTCCAGTGATCCGACGTGGAAAGATTCGTAGTACTAGTCTTCAGCCTAGAATTATCACTCATAGCTTACATCGGCATAGAGATCCGGCTGATAGATGGGGGGTGTCAGCCGTTTCTCATCCGACAACCTATGAGAATAGCTTACATTGATAATCACCGCCCTAAAAGGCCTCATAGAATGTACTCCGTCGCATAAAAGGGTGCGAAGCCCAGGTAATAACAGTGAAATCACGCCGTATCGTCTGTGTTCCTTGTCATGTGGTTACACGGCTGCCGTGCGACCGGGTTATTTGGTTTGCTATCGAGACAGTCCTTTCATTACAATCAAGTATCCCTTGTCCGCGCTTTAGGTTACTTGAGAACTCTCGAGCAGAAGAGGGTCTTTATATCGGACCACATAATTTGCGCTGCTCTATCTGTATCGATTAAGTTGATGGAGCAACGATCGGCCACCGAAGATGTGAGCGAATCGCTATTTAGTCTGGTGAGCCAAGACGCCAGCGGATGTCTCGAAGACACAATCAGGCTGTATGAAGCCGCTTTGATTGAAGCTCTCGACTACGACCTCTTTGCTGACGACGGTGCGGACGTCTGCCTCGCGTGGGAGGCTGCTTTACGCTCTCCCATTGTTGCGACGCTAAGTGTACATGCGATGAACTACCTGGATTCGAGCTCGACCGCGGCCGCCACGAGTGCTGCAGCCAATGCTTGGCACCTGGCCAAAGCCTTACTGGAGGTCAGAATGCCGCCAGTTGATCTGACGAGATGTCTTCAGGGCCAAAGGACACCTCCCCACGACGTTGTCCACCAATTGTTGATCCTTTGTCTATACTTCCACGGAGAGGGTAGTTGTCATTCGAATGTGACGTCTCAGACGCCAATCAATAACGCCCTATTATAATATAAGCCGAGATGTTTTGGAGATGAAGAGCTACAGTCATTAGGATATCTTAAAGAGTGTCATTCCGTTTTCGGGCTTTTCGAACCACTCCACACCGTCTTCGAACTAGGGGAAGAGACTGTCTCGGAGAAAGCGGATGAGCTACTGTGAGTGGCCGAGGGTATCAGATATAATTCCATTATCGGCGACACTGCACGGCTTTGGAGAGATAACAGTGGAGAAACGGCGGAAATACGAGGATATAATATGAGGATGATGTTGCAGTTTATCTCTCCCTTTGATGATAGATATAAGCGATATCTATAGCGATGTTAAACTTGAGTATCTCTTAATTCTGATGGAAGTGTGTTGAGATATAGACGATAAAGAGAGACCCTAATAGCTTATTTGGGGGTGGATAAGGTGAAACTTTCTTATTCCAGCAAATCATATAAATATGCATCCACATGACAGTAAGATATCGTGCAAAAACAAAAGTTTTGTGTTTAGATGTATTAGAAACTGATTGAATCCTCGCCGTTCTTGCCCGACTTTGCTGATGAATACGTAGTCCAGCTAGTTATCTGATGTTTATGAGCAACGTATTTTGCTTATTCTACCTCTGCTCCGCTTGTAGGCTGTCCGTTAATGGTCCTGTCGCTTTTTATATCTGTATCTTTATCCTCAAACTTTCGTTTAGATGTTCTTGTGTCCCGTGCTCATTGATTTAGGGCTTCCGATTCTGCTTTGTGCTAGAGATAGTTGACCTGACTGATTGTTAAAAACGTATGGCGGGTATATAAGCAACCACTAAGAAGAGAGAAGCTTTAGGTTCAGCTCAGTCCATTCGACAAACTGGATAATAATAAGCATATAGAGCGCCTGCTTTTCCAGAAGGTCCACAAGAGCTTTAATAATAAGTATTACCAATTAGCAGGCGAACTTAAGAATAGCAGTCCAGCGTGTCTAGAAGCTCTATCGGCAGAAAAGGTTGCATCGTTTCGGCATGATAATACTATATTCATGAATATTGGTTGAAGTTGGTACGTGTCAATATAGACAAGGACATCGAAATTGGGGCGCCGGGAAGTGTGTGGGGGACGTAATGTAATTTATTCTCTGAACGTATGATGACCTCTGCGGTCATCGTCGATAATCTCAAAAATTGCCGCAGAGCATGGCAAACTGTGCGTTGAAGTAGTCGGCCTTGCGCCGTACGCAAGGAGCAGTCGGACGGCGGCCGTGCTGTCGTTGCGCACCGCAAAGTAGATCGGAGGCTCGCCCCACTCACCCGTGATGTGTGGGTCAGCGCCGTGCTCTAAGAGCAGCCTGGCGCATTTGAGATTGTTATACAGAATGGCCACGCCCAAGGGCGTATGCCAAAAGTTTTGGCGCGTGCTATCCTCCTTGATTCTCCCGGAGTTTTGAAGATTGATCATAGACCGGCATGTTTGCACAACAGTCTCGCTGTACCCGCCATCACTTTCCCCAAGAAATCTTTCGAGAAAAGTGAACCCCTCTGTCTCTTTCTGTAGGTTAAGCGTGCCTATATCGCCACAGACAGTGTGAAGTATCGTATCGCCTAGCCTGTCTCGTAAGGTAAAGTCGATGTCCTTCTCAAGGAGCAGGCGGATGACGGCCTCTTTTATTGACAAGGCCGCACTAGCACCGTCTGCCCAAAGATTCATGAAGTCAATAGCGGGTGTTCTGAGGACCATATGAAAGACATGATCGCCTGTGGGGCCGCCGATACGCCCGGCAAAGTCATGTGCCGGATGAAGGGCTAATGCGTTCACTATACGTGGGCCTCTAAGACAAGCCTCGTAAAGAAGGAAAAGACGGTCTTTGGACAAGGCGACACCCATCAGACAGAGAGCTTCCACTTGAACCACGTCGCCACTCATAATAGCATTCTCTAGATCCTCTTGCGCCGTGGACGCAATTGTCGCCGTGCTGCGACGAGAAGACCACGACCCCGCCAACGAGTTAACTGCGGTGTCGTCTGACCCGAAACTTCGGGCTGACATAAGAGACCGCACATTCTCATCCGATAGACGTTGGTCAATCCTGAGTGCTGAGTCTTCCGCCAGAGGTGCCGACGCGGGTCTTAGAATTTCTGACAGTATGTATTCTTGGCCTTCACTTCTGCCGACGTCGGTGGCATTGGTGGCCTCCACTAACGTGGAGGCGACGCTGTAGCTTGAAGACCAAGATGCAGCGGGAGACCGTTCTGCCAACGTTTCATCTGAGTATGTACTCGTGGGTGATGGGGGCTGGCTTACTTGCGCCGTGTTCATCGTGGCAGCTTCTGAGAAACGTAACGCCTAAAGATTATTCTCTAAGGTTTCTAGCGCATTATCTATATATCTTGTGATCGGCTAGGTAAAACACTACATCAAGGAACGGTTACCATTAATTACGACACACTATATAATGCCGTTAAGATTAATAGAATGACTTCAACTGACTTTATATATAGCTGCTTATCTATTTGTCCAATGTCGACTCGTAACATGCTAAACACGTAAGTATCTATAGACTACTCTTCCTAGCTACTTAAATCAAATGTCCACAATATAGTTACAGTAAAACATATTACTTATTTAATTACGTATAAAACAATTAGGTCATTTTGATAAGCTATAGTAGCTTGGCTGTAACCTTTAGGAAGGGTTTAGTTAATGACTCAACATAAGAAAGGCGCTCTTAATGACATAAAGTAAGATAGCTCAAAGCAATAGCTCAATCTAGGATGTGATTGGACCCCACACCGCTCTCCTCGTCTTCTGTGGAAGCCCGCATCAATTGAAGGACCTTTTACTGTCCATTAACGAATACCTCTGCCGTTGTAGCTTTCGTTGGTATTCCGCGATTTTCGTGGCTGTGCAAGCTGAACTGCATTCTACGCTGCAGCCTCAACTTCTTGCTCTTCTGTCGCTGTTCCGACAGGAGATACTGTTTGCGGAGAATCGTGTGCTGAAGCATGTCCCTTCTTTTCCGCGCATTATGAATCTCATCGCTAGTTTGAAAAAGTCGATGTCGCCATCTGGACACTATGGTTTCCGTTTGAGACTTATGTAGCCTGCAAAGGGCTCCATCTACGATGTCGTCAAGCTTAGCGCTTGCGAAGTGCACAAAGCTGGCCTTTTCAAGATCGCTGCAAATTCTCTTCCTGCATCGACCGCCAGACTGGGATTGACCTAGGCACTTCCCCAGACTGTTTAAATTTAAATACGTCATAAAGTCCGTGATTGAAAGCAATCTGGGCATAACCATAATGCTAGATACAAGGACAGCTGTCAGTAACTGGGGCCTAAATATACAAGATTAAACCACTATATTGTTACGAGCGGGTCAGGGCAACCAACTGTGGCACAAAGCAAAAGCTTCGATAATGACAAATCCGTTGTCATTGTCCCCTGTTCTGCACTATATAGTTACAATCCTACAGTGACCAACTGTAGCGGTCGTAACATATATTTCGAACACTTTAGTCTTATAACATAAGATTACTATAAACGCTAGAAGCTTTAGACATACATCCTCTATTACAGGTTATGGCTAGCACTCATATAAATTATTAAGGTTTGATTTAAGTTTGTGCTAGTTAGCTAGGCAGTATAGGTCTAGAAATATCTATATAAAGTACTAAAACTACTATAATAAGCTAATCTAAAACATTTATAATTCCTTTCTAATTTACTCATCTATCCAACTAGGTACAATAGAGCTATTATATCATTTATTACATATAGTGCTCTCATATACTATGTATTATGTATCGAAGCACAATTGCTTATTTAATGCTCCTCAGACATATTAATTAATAATAAATGCTTAACTTTAAATATATAAAAGAGTACGCGCTCTTCATTATGCTTATAATGATGTATGGATGTTGAGATAGTATATATTATTATAGTTATCTGTAACATAGTTTTCTGGGCTCTAACAACCCGTTTGTATACCTTCACTTATAGGCTTGAAAGCACCTTTATCTTTAACAGACAGTTTCTCACCTCGCTCGACAGCTCTAGGCTGAAGTTCATCAGCAGAAAACTCACAGCCACTCTATTGAAAGATGATAATAATTACAACGGCTTTAATCCCCCAAGATTGCTGCGTCTAGCGATCGCATGCATCATTTGTATCGAGAATACAGCCATAGTCATCTTTCCATGGTCAAACCAACGCCTTTCTGCACAAACAGTTGCCTCACAGGCAGGTAAAGTGTCGTTTCTCAGCCTGCTGCCTCTGTGTCTTCTCGCTATGCCGGAAAACTTGATGTTATCACGCGCCATGCGGCAGTGCAGAGAACAATGGTTCTGGGCACACGCTCTATTTGGATGGCTTGTCACTCTAGATGTAGCTGTTCATGTGGTAGCATCGCTCGTTGCGGCCTCTAAGACCCAAGGTAATGCAGACCCGACTGGATGTCATTCAGGACTAGAAGACAGCTATCACTGATACACAAAAACAGACGGCACCTTAGGTACATGGACTACGGGATTTACAGTAAGGCGACAGGTTTTGCGGTAGGGATCGCTTGCTAACACCATTGTTCCCAGGCAGGAATTATTATATTCTTCGTGGCGTACCTGTCCAATGCCAGGCTACGAGGAGTAGCCACAACAGTCGTGCTTTATTGCGCCCGGCGACCGGCGTATACAGGTTCCCTGCATTGGACGAGTGTCCATTGGATTCTGAGCGTCATCGCGTGTCTTCTGATGGTTTTTCATGTTATATTACGTATTACCTGGGTGATGATTGTGGTAGTCTCAATTGGGGCCATCACGACGTCCATAATGCAGATGACGCGGCAAGCTTCGGCTCTAGAAACCGATGTTATAGAGGTCATGAGGGTGTCCATCTCCTCAGAGAGCGTCCTCGTCGTCCTCGAAATCAACCTTACGCAACTCATCAGGGCGGGCGAGTCGTACTACTTCAAGATTGACGGTACGCCAACCCGCGTGGCATGGATTCGGCGCTATACTTCTAAGAAAGACGGAACTCGTCACAGGGCCCTTCTGATTGTATTAAGCCCATCATGCCCCGTTCAATCCAGAGAGATTCGTGGTCCATTTGTATTGCCGATCGCCCCGGCCATAAGAACAGACAGAACACTTGATATTTTGACAACGGACAGCGGCATAGTCGAGGCTTACCAGTGCTTTGCATGGAGAAAGGTCTTGAAACAGAGACAGCCTGCTTCTTCCTTGACATGGGTAAACGAGAGTCCGGAAATGTTGGAGGCATGGGTGACGTGCGTGGGATTAAATTACGCAAGATACAACAAGCAGCCCACGATGAGAATCATATGCACTGGCAGAAGCCGTCAGCTGTTGGCCGATATAGAGTCCGACAACCGGACTGATTTGAGACCTAATGCTAAAGGACTATTTATACAAAGACTAAAGCAGTACCGCGAGGCGCGGGTGATGCTCTGCTCCCCGGAAGGTGACAGTCTGCGAGATGTTCTGCAGGATCACATGCCTCTAGGACCTCACGGTCCGTACAGTGAGTAGATAAGTACAAATCATACAGACTATGAAGACTGACATAAGTATAAAGTCATTGGAGAGCACCTGCGATCGCACCGCATCCGCGCCAGTCGGTTGGATTTAGATGCAAAGACCAAAGACCATAAGGTCTAACCCTATCTCTAGGAACAGCATTCATGTAACGTTAAGTTGAAGATAGAGTCATAACAATTCAGTTCAAGATGAGAACAGCAGCATAAATAGCCAGCGAGAAACGTGAAAGCGTTATTAGTCGAACCAACTGCAGCCGAAACGCTCCAACTATAGGCGTAATGGCTTATTGATGATAAACTCTAACAATGTCTCAACATCGTCGTAAAGCACGAGCCAGTCGATACTCTTGAAATACCTGGTCTTTTTGAAAGAAAAATATCTTCCTACCACGATTATCCCCACGTAATGCGCCGCACCCGTCGTTCGTCGCTGTATCCGACACCCGCGATGGAACTCCCGGGCGATACCCCACTCCGCTCCATCCGGTCTTAACCCGCGATCGACTGCTACCCAACCGCTAGACTTTCTAATATTATCTAAAGTATCGTCCGCCAAGGCGAGTGTCTCGTCACGCACAGCACTATACGCGTATAGGTTATGCAGACTGAGACTATTATTGCTAGTACAGATGCCGATAACTGCCAGACAGTCAAAGCCGTGAGTTTGTAGAATGCGCTTCGCTTCTCCATCAGCTTCGCTGTTCAAAAGGTCCACCATCGGCATAAGAGTAAACCAAAGCTCGTCTTCCTCCTCTACAACGTCCTCGTCTCTGAGCATAGCAATTTCGTCCAGTGTTGGACAGTCGAGTGGCTCTGCCCGTCTCGTCGGCACCATACAATCTGCTATGTGCACTGGCAGTGCAACAGCAGAAGTGGTCAACACCGCGCAGGAACTGGAGAGAGCCTGAGTCGTGTAGACTGGGGACGGACACAGTCTAGCGGCCTGTGGCTGCTGCGCGCTCCGTTTTGTACTCTTGTGTAACGCCACGGAAATCTCTTGCCGCGCGACCAGCAGATGTTTTTTAGGCCTTACACAAGGGTTTTCTGGAAACTTAGAGACCGAGTCGCTCGTTATGCCTATAGTACTTTGAGGTCTCATATCGTGTGTGAAGTTAACAGCGCGAGGACTTGGGCTTCCGGCATGGCTTGCGTGTTTTGGGAGGAGTCTGAGTAGCTTGTGCGTAGTACGTCTGAGATCTGTAGGTGACGGCATCGTGTGTTTTGAAGCCTGACTGGTCGTGTCTCACTGGTAAATTCTCAGGACGGTAGGCTCAACGTGATATATATGTTACGGTCAGCTATCCGACAGTAGGGTCTGCTAACAGAAGTTGGGGATTGACGTTTAAACAGTACACTGGGGTCATGGTCGTAGGTCGTAGGTCGTAGGCTGTAGTAGATCAAGTCTTCAGAGGCTAAGGTGATCAGTCTTAGACTCAACAAGTAATTCGCAGTGAAGGTGAGCTGAAAGTATCTGTGGTGATAATCACAAGTTGATTGCTGAAGA